AAGGTACCATTTCATGCGCAGCATACTGCCGCAGCAACTCGCTGCTATTGGTTGAAGAATTGTTACTAGATGCTGCAAAATAAATTTCACCATATTTTGCTTCATCGCTGTGAAGTTCAATTGAACGAACAGCAAAGCAGCAGACACGCGATCTAGCCGGCCAGTGCTGCTGCAGCTATTCCTTTTCCATGAGCAGCAAATATGCTTTAGTGAATTTGGATCACGTGACTAATTTGCTGCTGCTGCATGCTGCGTATGAAAAGGCACCTTTGGGGTGTCATTTTCATGAGAGCGAGAAATTAAAGCGGGGAGCACACACTTTTGGCACTTTTGCATAAGTGCACAAGCATATACATAACGAATTTGATTGGTTTATAAGCAAGTGCATAAGGAAATAGATCAATCAAATTCGTTAGTCCCAGTCTACAATAGATGATTTAAGCCCTAAGCTTTAAGAAATTGGCCAATCACGGTCAAGTATGAGTAGAATGCGCGACTGTGATTAGTCAATTTCTTAAGGCTTAGGGCTTAAATCTCTATTGTAGACTGGGACTTATGCATATGCTTATGCACTTATGCAAAAGTGTGTGCTCCCCGCTTAAGAATTTATTCTTTTTAGCTAAACTGGTGGCGAATCAACTTTTCTCATGTAGACAATGTAAATTTTGTAAATTAGATGTCAGAATGCATAGCACAGACATGCACCAAGTGGAAATTTTATCGGCAGAGTCCGAAAATGCGTAGGTGCCCGTCTACAATAGAGATTTAAACCCTAGGCCTTAAAAAAATTGACTAATCACAATCGCGTATTCTACTCATACTTGACCGTGATTGGTCAACTTCTTAAAGGCCATTCTACAATTGCGTAAACGTGGTTGTTAGCGGTTGTACAGTGTTGTAAAACACAGTTTTAAACTAGCATTGTCGTGAAAGATAAAATTCAGCCATCATTTACAACAGGCTTTACAATCGGAAATGCTAGTTTAAAACCGTGTTTTACAACACTGTTATACATACAACAGCTAACAACCACGTTTACGCAAAACAGACGTTGGGAAACGTCGCCCTGAACCGAGTAGAACGAACAGACTCCGCAGAACTATTCCCTAGGCCGACCTAGGGTGATTTTCGTTCAACAGGCAGGCAAATGGCAACCGTTTCCGCGTGCGTAGGGATTGTCAGGCCTGGTAGGTTGACCAGTCTGTCATTTTTCGCGGCAACGCGTGCGGACAGCGGTTCGCGGTCACACTCGTGGGGAAACGGTCGGTGAAGTTCGGAGAGCGAGAGAGGTGTGGACGAAGGTGGTTGCTCGTACATTTCAGTTCTTGAAATTAAAGGCGGTAAGTACCCGTGTCTTCGCGGAATCTGCTTTCAAGGATGTTGGCGTCGTCGGACGCGGATCGTGGTTTCTAAAAAAAAAAACAAAGCAAAGAAGAAAAAGGAGCGTATACCGGCGAGCGCGTCGCCGCCAACTCCGCCATGTTGGATCAAACCGCCAAGTTGCGGCCGATTTCGCGACGATTTTCCTGCGATCGCGGCGTGACTCGCCCTCGCTGCGCGTGACGATCTCACGCCCCTAGGTCTCCCTCGTCCACCCTCGTCCACGGTTGTCCCTGCTCGCGTCACGGCACGCTACGCACGATCGAATCGATTCCGGGACGATCGCGTCCGCGCACACGTCGTAGCTGATATGCACCCACGCACCCCTCGCCGATTCCTCACCTCCGTTTTATTTACAACACCGAGCGTGTGCGACCCTTCGATGGGATTTCCGTCGTAGTCTTTGCGACATCCAGTTGAACGTTAATTCCTCGTTCGGACGTCTTGATTCACCGCTGTACGCTTATGTTTTCACGCTTCCAGGGCCCGTACTCGGAATCCTCTTTTGTTGCCAAGTGTCGCTAAAATTAGTTTTGACGATTTTCTTACTGGCTGAAAGGGTCTTTTACGGGTGTTTTTATCGATAAAAGGATTTTAGAATATCGGCCTAGGAGTATTGTGTATCTCATAGTGAGCAGCTTTATCTCTTTCTAAGGGAATAGTTAGAAAGAGACAAGGCAACTCACTCTTGAAAAGAAATACGCAATTGACCCGATTTCTTTTTCATTTCGCATTGGATACATTGCCTTATTAATGATTTTCTAGTTTTTATGAACGTCTGACAGGGGAAACTTATTTGACTTTCGTGTTTACAGTGTACAATGAGTAAAGTTAAGGAGTCTCCCCATAGTGACAACGAAGCGGAAGAGGAGTTCAGCGTGGAGAAGGTTCTGGACAGAAGGGTTGTAAAAGGAAAGGTACGTGAGATCTTGCCGCGAGACGTCTCACGAGTATTGATTGGCAACGTGTGTTACTGTAATCTGAGAAAAATTGTCTGACCTACAGGTGGAATATTTCTTAAAATGGAAAGGTTACTCGAACGATGAGAATACATGGGAACCAGAGGAGAATCTAGACTGTCCTGACCTGATCGCTCAGTTCGAGGATCAACGGAAGAAGAAGGAAGCAGCTGCATCTGGCAAGCGTCACGAAGAAAAGGAACAGAAAAAGCGAAAAAGCAATAACACCCCGACGCCCACTCAGGCTAAGAAAAAGGCAGCAGTGGAAGAAAAGAAGTTAGAAGGTAAAGGGAAGCATCGACAATTTTACTTCTAATACATCCTTTTCGCTTCCTCCTTTATTTCCTCCCTAAATTCCTTATTCTCGTTCCTTACGAATATCCAGATGCACTCGCTCCGATGTAGCGAGTTATATAATAAAATTTCCAGATGTGTTTCCGAATATGCTTTCGACTTTACAGGATTTGACAGGAATCTGGAACCCGAGCGTATTATCGGCGCGACAGATTCCAGTGGCGAACTCATGTTCCTGATGAAATGGAAAGGAACGGATGATGCGGATCTGGTACCTGCGCGTATCGCTAACGAGAAGTGCCCACAGATCGTGATCAAATTTTACGAAGAGCGACTTACGTGGCACAGCCCAGCCCACGACGAGGAGAACTCCACAAAACCTGACCCGGAGTAGCGCTCAGCGTTCCTTCATGATTTATTTTTATGATTACGAAGTATTCCATAACATTATCTTAGTTGTTTACGAGTTTTCTAACTTTTGTAGATGAGAAATAAATATAAGATTTTTCGAACCAAGTAAAGCGACACACTGTAGAAAAAAAACCGAAGAGAATTTAAAAAACTACATTGCTGTTCATACATTGTCATCACTTAATAATATATATATATATATCTATTTTGAAATAGTACTTACACAATTCACTGACGTTTCAAAGTGTTACTTTTAATAAATATCTTTAATCATTTATATTGGTTACCATTACTTTGTTTCTAAATATTTAACTATTCAAGATTGCAGTTGCGAACTTCAAAAGTTTAAATAAAAATCGAAGTTAAAAATCATAAGTTTCATTTCAATTATTAGCAGAAAAGGGATTTAAAAACGCAAGGGAAAATGAGCTTTTTCGCATACATGACTAGATTTGACTATTCCCATTAATAGTACTAGGTCCATTGTAATGCCTCAAAGCAAAAAAGATTGAATCTTAATTGATTTGCAATAAGTTATGAGTGGATTGTTTCTTTTCTCACACGTTGTCGAAACCTTGCTAAGTGTATATTCCAGTATATTCAAAAATTCGCTGTAAAATAAGTCATGAAGGAAGTATAATAATCATTGTTTAATACTATTATTTCACTAATTTTCTCACAAACATTTGGAAACAATTTTATATCTTTCTAATTCGCATCAAAATATACTGTATTAGCTGAATCACTGTATCAAAAGGAAAATTTTCGTTAATGAGAAAGATATGTTTGTATTAAAACCAAACTGTTTTGTGCAATAATGAACGGTGTTGAGCGAATCGTAATGATTATATGTTCTTGCATAAAAACCTCACGAGAAGACAAGTACTTTTTTTATCCGTTTTCAAATATTTCATATTGTTTATAGCATTGCCTTTAGATTAAACGTAAAAACAGCATCAGAGGATTAAGTTTATTGTAAAGAAAAATATAAAATTGTCTATAAAATCCGTTTATTACACACATTTATCGTTTAAATCTTTTGCCACGACTGTTGTCAAACGATTGAACAGACTTTCGCTTCTTCTTGCCGAACGGCCCTTTCATTCGTTGATGTCGGTTTATTTCCCAATCTATTTGCTTGGCGCTAGCGCCGTCGTTGCTGCTAAAAGCATTGCTACCGCCGTGCTTGCCCCTCGTTTTGTTCTGTTCCTCCAACATCTCGGCGAACTTTTCCGCCGATACGAATATATTGCCATCGATCCCTCTTTTCTTCTCTTTACTTTTCGGACCCTTCGCGTTTAGCTTTTTATTCAAGCTCGAAATCAATTCGTTGTCTTTATCCTCTTCATCGTCGGAACCATTGAACTCTATATCGCTGAGATCGTCGTCGCCTACGTCTGCGAGATCGATGTCGCTCAGGTCTTGCAAGTCGTCGTCATCCGCGACATCTTCATCAAAATCCTCGGATGCATCATCGGCGATATCGTCATCTTCGGATTGGCCATCTCCATCGTCCTCGTCCTCAGAATCCTCGTCAGTTTTACCTATTATAAATATGAATTATTAGCAAGACACATCGTTCAGTTTCTACAACTATACAAAAGAAGAAAGACTCCTTTATAAATGGGCCAACGAAACACACTACATATAAATCTGTATGCAAAAACAACGCACTACCTTTCTTTTTCCTGGGTAAAATGTTCGCCGCGATATCTAATTCGCCAAAATCTTGGCCGCCGCCCATACGATCCAACATATCATTAAACTCTTCGCTGTTGACGCTGTCTAAATCCTCGTCGTCCTCGTCATCGTCTTCCCTCTTGATACGCCTCTTCACCTCGTCCTTGTGCTTCATATATCGATATAGAAATAGCTCGTCTACCGGTATTCGTTCCTCCCTCTCGTCGAGATACGCCGCGCTGTCGACCGCAAGGGCTCGTATGCCCTTTGGCGTGTAACCAGCGCGTTGCGCCAAAGGATCGTTCTTTTTCTGCACCTTCTTGTCCTCCAACTTCTTCGGGTTCTTGAAAACGTACCGGTCCAAGAATCGAATCAACGTCAGATCCTCCAAGGGATCGCCTGTGTACTCAATCGGCTTTCCTACGAATACAAGTTCATGTTACACCGAATAATGAGCGAGCGAGATGTGAAGCTTAAAGTTTCGTTACCCTGAATGATCTGATTCGCGAATAAAGCGACACTCGGATGGAAGTGCCTGGACAGTGCTTCAAGTTCGGTGTTAAACCCCTTGGTTGCGCCTGCATACAGAGGATTTCGGCAGAAGGGATCGTACGACTTGACGTCTTGCGCCTCGATTTTCACGTCGGTCTCTTCCTTCACGTCAGACTTCGTTTCCACGCCAACGGTGACATTCGACAACATGATGGAATTCTCATTTTCTATTACATCTACGTCTCCTGCATCTGACAAGCTATCGTTTACTTCGCACACATCATTTTCAACCTTAACAGCCTTAGGTGGCTCGAGCAACATGCGTCTTAGTTCCTGGCGGTTTTGAAGAATTTTGGAGACGGTGTACAACATGGCGCACGCCATGTTCGCGGAAAAGTAGAACGTAATTTGCAAGATTCTCTTGATAAAGGCGTATAAACGTAGCACGCTTTGATCTCCCTGAAGAACTCGATACAACAAGTTGAGGAACATCGCGCGTTTGTTCGCTACTCCTATTTGCCGGTCGAGCAGCTTCCTGTAGAAAGCCGAGTAAAATCGGTTCGCCTGAGACTCGTCCTTGCCCGTTACCTGAAAGCACGAGAGACAATTGCTTTTTAATACAAACTAGAAAACGAGCGAGTCTTCGGTACAGCAGCAAGTGTTACGTCGCAGCTACGTACTTGATGCAACAAGCTAAGTGCATTGAGAGAGACATTAAACGAGCCAAAGTGCACCACTTTGTAGATAGAGTCGATGTGTTGATTCAGCACCCTCGAGTCCGCCTTGGCGAAAGGATACGCTCTATTGACGCCCATCAGAATCGCCGCCATCATTCTACTGTCGGGCTCGCCTCTCTTCAAGCACGCTTTGAAAAACGCGAGGTAGACTTCTATCAGGGTAGCGGCTACCTCCTCGTCGTTTCTATCCAAGACGTACTGCGCCAGCAGGCACACGGCGTAATACTGCGTGCGCTGGCCCACATTCTTTCTGAACAGCAGTCTCTCGACCTCGCGCAAGATCACGAGCTTCATTTTCGGATGCTCGTGCAGCAATTTATTGACGCAAAACACGGCTTTGGAGCCGACCTTGCCGCTCGGATCGCCGATCTTATTCACCAGCAGCTCCAGCAACTTGTGCTCCTGCTCAGAGTTGCCTATCAACAGATCGGCCATCGCGGTTATGGCCTTCTCGCGATTCGTATCCACCGTGTCGGAGGCCACCGTGGACAGGTTCAGGACGAAACGTTCGTACTGCTCGCGCAGCTGGTCCTCGAAGTACCAGTGCGCCAGCAGTCTGTTCCTAGCGCCGCTCGTCCTGACGACGGAATCCGGGCCGTCCGCCACGTCGAGCTGGTCCAATTCCTGTTGCTCCAACTTCAGTAGCCTGAACTGCGGGTGCAGGAGATCGGCCAGGAAGAGCTCTTTCAACGACAGAATAATCATGCCGCACTGATTGTGCTTGGCACTTCGCACCTGGGACACCAGGGACATCAGACGACTCAGGTTGTACTTTGGATTATCCTGCACCACCACTATACTGGCCGCTATCTTGTCCGACGTGGTGCCCTTCTGCAACGCCGTCTTCAACCACTTGGTCTCCGAGTCGTGCGATCGGGACTGCTTCGACTGGAAGGCGGCGGTCTCCGCGTCCAGGTACTTCTTTCCCTCATCTCTCAGGTGCAGAACGTCGGCCTCGGACTTTGAGTGCTTGCACGGTCCCGCTGCCTTCTGATACTCCTCGTACCACTTCTGTCTAACGGCAGTGATAATGTCGCCAGTGGCGTTGAATCCTCTCTTCATCTTCTGAAGTAATTTTCAAAACGACGATAAATATGTGCGTTTAAGTACGTGACACGATGTTTTAATAGTTACTGTAAAGTAACACCCGCGATTTATTATCAGAGATATAAGATATATAATTATACGCTACGTGGACCAATACTCACGTTGTTAACCGCAAAGTCATTGGCAAGTCTCTTCCAACGAAGATTCTTTTGTTCAAGCTAGTTAGGCGTGTTCAGTGAAAATATATTCTATATATAAATTGTTGTCGATTTAAGCAACTTAAATCTTAAATCTTTTATCTTTAGTTTGTATTTTCCTCAAGTCCTAACCCTGCAACGTGCACCTGGAAAAACACTCGAAAACGTGAGGGCACCTTACCGCCATCTGTATTCTTTGATGGAAGGCATTTCTGGTTTAAAGTACCGGAAGTAATAATTTCCCGTCGAGGGGAAACCAAAAAAAATACCGAAAGTAACTATCTCTCCCTGCACACGAAGTTCGTCAAATTTCAATCTATATTCTTATACGACCTGCATACTTTCTCGCTGAGCATTTACTCTAAATCGGGCATGCGAGGTCTTGGCATAAATTGAAATGAAACGTAAAAAACTTATTTGGCACAATTTTTAGCCATCCCATTTGAATGCTCTTGAATTTATTGAAAAATATACAGTCATTTGTCAATGGTCATTAATTTTTGCATCCCATTGAAGCGATATACACAATATCATATTTAACAGAGGCTCGGCGAGATAAGTCACTTCGCGGCCGATTTTCAATTGACTCCGCCCGCCGCTATTTCCTTTACCTCGCCGTCCCCCGCGCGAAGCCCACGAGCCGGTCGAGGCTCAGAAGCGTGTTTTCAATAGCTTTCCTCGTCACCCTTAGGCCCGGTTTCACCAACGTTGTTTAACTTTAAGCTTAGCTTAATTCGTTCTTTGTCGCTTTCTATTACTTTAGAGAGAGACAAACGTGAATTAAACTAAGATCAAAGTTAAACGACGTTTGGTGAAACCGGGCCTTAAGGTACTACTGTTAACGCGTTATTTTTTTTAGTGGTATCCCCGATAGGCATAATCCACTGATGACCAATAACTGAAAGGCGAAGTGACCTATCTCGCCGAGCTCGTGTCATATTACATGGCGCGTGCACGCGTATCCCAGTACTATTTGTTTTCAATTACAATGTTATCTGTCGAAGTTGCCCAGCAACATCTCAGTTTTCGATTACAATGTCATGTATAAAAATTGCTACATTATAAAAGTATACACGCGTACTCTTACATCACTTTTATTTCATGAGACACGCAGCGCTGTTGAACGCAGATTAAATCGGAGCCGCACAAATTCCAGTGATTTTACATTGAACTTTCATAAGTTTACATTTACTTGGAAGTTTATTTGAACATTGTGTACAATCAGAGAAATAGAATTATAATCAAATATTAATATCTCTCGAAAATCTGAGTCTTAAGAACCAAACTTCATTACTGACTACAATTACAGGACGAAAGTAACAATCGCTTTGAGTCAAAGTCAAAATGGAATCAGAATTGGAGATAATTACGCTCTTACATTTTCTATTTGTTTGATAAGAAAATAACTCTCGACTTTAATGACACAAATACTTAACCAAAGTTATTGGTAGTATGACTAGATTAAAAAAAATACTTTAATGAAAACATTGCAAGAGAAATACTGAAAAATTGCTTGCTTGTAGGATTAATATCATGTATAAATTTTCCCTAAATTTACATTACAATACAGGCGAATATGCTTATGTGCCTCAGCGTGTGACACACATATCCCAATTTCAACAATACAATATAAGCAAATTCTTAAATTATATGTTACTAAACATGCAATTCTGCGGCACGCACACAGACTTAGTAACATACATATATAGATTTTATGCGGTATTCTTAGAAAGAACTTCTAAGAAATTTAAAAAGATCTAATCGCTATTATTCTAATCCTCGATGCCTTCTTTTCATTCTTGCATACGGTCCGATTTCGGGATCCATCACGAAATCGTACAGAACGGACACCCACGAGTTGTGCTGCGGCAAGTCGTTGTAAAATTCTGCGGCAATACGTTTTACCTAGATAAAACAGGCGAAATAGTAAATAGCAAGTTATATTGTGTAACCGTATCGACACAGTGACTGTTTTACATACTTGTGGTAATCTCGAACCAGGCACCGCAGGAAAGTCGTGGTGTTCGTTGTGATATCCAACGTTGAATGTGATGAAATTTAGAGGACCGTAGTAACTGTACGTCTCAAAACCTTTTTTGTACATATAATGTTCCGATATAAAATGTCCCGCCACGGGATGCAGTCCCATTGCCAATAGAGAGCCAATAAGCAAATAAAACAGTACTTTACCACCTGCAAATTACATTTTGTTTTCAATCAGTGATCAAACTTCACAATTCGTATCAATTTGCACTATTAGTATAAAGTTTGATTTCTCTACAAACTCTGAAACTCACCAAAAAAGTACCACAGGCAGGCGTCGAACGTCAACTGTATAACTAAATTTATATATTCTAGAGAAGTTGGTATCTTTGGGTACGTTACAAGAGGTCGGAATGCATAGAAGAATGGTTGTAGCGCTATCCAACAGAACTTCCCAACAGTCGTACAAAACAGTTTAGCTTCTAACAACGTTGGTAGGTCCGTATCTAATTTTTCATCTCCCTGATACTGAAAACGCCACGAAAATACACCTCGTAAGCAACGATTGAAGATACATTATACCATTGAATAACGCAAGTAAAGTTTCGAGATAATTTCTCTCACACGATGGTGCTCGAGATGATATTTCTTAAAGCTGATAGATATCGGTATTCCTATTGGCAGATTTGCAAAGAAGCCGAACAGTCGATTAGCCATAGGCCTGGCATGTCCAAAGGCAAGATTATGAGATATCTCGTGTATCGCTGCGGAGAAAACAAGTAACGTAAATTAGCATTTCCAATATGTATATCAGAAAAAGTAGCGCATGTGAATAATGTTGAATAAATTGTGGCTTTACTGTATTAATGAACGAAATGTATGCGTACCGAGCATAAGAGAGTGATTTATCACCCCTCCGAAGCAATATGCTAATAGCAAGAGTTTCGGATAGCTCAGATCTTTGACGATAAACAACGATAGGAACTGCACCAATACCATCCCAGTGACGACCCATTTGAAATTTGGATCATACCCAAACAGTTGCTTGATTTCTGGATATTTCTCTGAAACAGATAATACCGTATTTGTAACAAATAAAGCTACCTAATGAAAATACCATGTCAATGGCATTTTATCGTATGCTGGCGCGTGATTGACTGCTCGCGTCCACGCGCGCGTCATGAGACTCATGATTAATCGATTGCGCCATAGACTCTCGTGCTAAAAACGCGTAATAAATATTTCAACACGTTAACGGCCGCTCCTCTTCCTCTCTATCTGTTCCTCTCGGACGACTGAGAGAAAGCAGAAGAAAGATAGATGAAAGAAAAGTTGGGCGAATTTATTGAAACGAGATTATTTTAGGGATAAATGTAATTTCGCAATTGTTTTTCGTGCAGTTTATGAAATTTTAGGAATTCCACAGTTTTCACAAACTTATCAGACACAATCAGTCACAATCAATAATCTCGTTTCAATAAATTCGTCAAACTTTTCTTGTATGACAAAATGTGTATGACACATCTTGTTATACACTTGATATGCAGATATAAATTCTTGGTACGTACAATATAGACCTAAAATGTATGACAAGAAAAGTTTGACGAATTTATTGAAACGAGATTATTTCAGGGATAAATGTATCTCGCATTGTTTCGTGCAGTTTATGAAATTTTAGGAATTCTACAGTCTTCACAGATTTATCAGACACAATCAGTCACAATCCATAATCTCGTTTCAATAAATTCGTCAAACTTTTCTTGTCGTACATTTTGAGTCTATGGCCGGTATTCATAGTCGATTCTTATTTCAAAATTATCTTAAGTGTTGTCTTAAAAGGCTAATAGGGTTCTGTGATCGGTTAAAAACACATTAAGAGTCTACTTAAGACGATCTTAAATATAAGAACGGACTATGAATACTGGCTTATCTGTATATCAATTCTTGGTACCTACAACATAGGCCGGTATTCATAGTCCGTTCTTATATTTGAGATCATGTTGTAGGTACCAAGAATTGATATCTGTATATCAATTCTTGGTACCTACAACACAGACTTATCAAACACAATCGCAGTTACAATAAATTGACATCCAAGCGCGTCTAAAGGCTGGTCTACAATACATGGAGTAAGCTGGAGTAAGCTGGAGTAAGGAGTAGGAGTAAGGAAATAAATCCATTTTATTTCCTTACTCCTACTCCTTACTCCAGCTTTAGACCAGCTGTAGACCAGCCTTTAAACTTGACATTTTCAGCAACGATTGATAAAGACACTGCATCTACAAGTACAATTAATATCTCACAGCACCGCTTTCGTTACGTCCAAAACATTATTTCTGTGCGAAGATATTCGAGCGGAACGGCAGACTTTTCGCGGTAGGCGTGGTTGCGCGTATTCAGCTTCGACGGATAACGGGCCTCACGGTCCCAACCGAGAGCGGTGTCCAAGTATTCACGCCGGAGGAATAATAATCGTCAAATATCCCGTCGTACCCAGAATTATTTTGCGGCGCGTGGCGTGCGGCTCCTCCGTGTAGACCCACTCGAAGTCCGTCCTCGAGACCCGCTGGCCCATCTTCCCGGTTCCCGTGTGCACGTGCAGCAGGCGTACGAGACTAATCCCGGCGACGGCTGAAACCGAATGACATCGTCAACGACGATCTTGGGCGAGAAGCAGACGTTACGCACATACACACGCCCTTGAACTTACGACTTCGCCGCGCTACCTGACGATATTTCGCCGGCCCCTATCTTCGCTTTTTCTTAAACTTGCCGTTATACAGGGTGTCCGTTATCACCGGACGACCGGACGGCGTTTATCAGTCACGCGCGTCTCCCGTTTCAGGCTCAGACAAACAGAGAGGTGGCAAAAGAAATATGGAGTCGCCCCTTTTGAATCGAGTCAATTGTGATGCGAATCGCGAAACAAATTGGAGAAAGTCTATCGGATGTCCGAAAATTCAGCCTGGCGCGTCTCAGACGCCGAACTGGACGTTTGTAGGTTTTTTTTCTTCCCGTCGAGATAACTGTAGAATCGGGAAGACCCTCGAACGGAGCCGAAACTGATTGCTCCACGGTTTCCTCTTTTCCCTACATTCGCTCTCAACAGATCCAAGATCCACGTGTCCGGTGTCCTCGCAACATTCCGTACATGGCATCAACGTGTACGACTGATAAAGCCTGTAATCACGCGGCGCGTGACATCACAAGATAAAAATGAAATATTTATCGTCGCATATAATAGCTGCGCGGTATATACACGTCTGTTTTTTTTTATCTAACGTGCGCACATAGATAAGAAACAAAAATTGCAAAAGTGCGCGCGCGATAAAACCATTTCGGCTCCTCCCGGCAAAGCATTATCTTCCTTCCACTTTTCTTCAACCGTCCGAGAGAGAGAGACGGAGAGGGGGACGTGTTAAAATATTTATTACGTGTTTCTCGCGCGAGGGTCTATGGCGCAATCAATTTATCAATGAGACGCACGCGTGGACGCGACCGGCCAATCGCGCGCCAGCATGCGATAAATACCGATTTTTCGGACCGAAAAGGCGGTAGATTGATTGGTGGATCGCGCGCTCTCTCTCTCCCAGCGCTAGACAGAAACTCTCGAGAGCGGCCACCGGAAGTCAACTAGCTCAGAAACAGATGCGTCCCCTGACAAAGCGGATGTCAACTACGTCCGTTCCGTTCGCTCGGTAAGTCCCAGTCTACAATAGAGATTTAAGCCCTAAGCCTTAAGAAATTGACTAATCACAGTCGCGCATTCTACTCATACTTGACCGTGATTGGCCAATTTCTTAAAGCTTAGGGCTTAAATCATCTATTGTAGACTGGGACTAACGGTACACAAGCTAATATGCATGGTTTTCATGTCCAAACTTCTCAGATGGACGTGAGAGCCGGATGAGATAAACAAGCGAATCAATCAATCGTTCGGACTTTGTATTATTTATGAAAAATTACGTAATCACATACGTAGAAAGCAGAGAAACAGAAGCCAATCAGAACTCGCGTTGGTAGCAAACAGCGCACTCTGCTGGCGGAAAGTAGAGACTGTTGGCTACCAGCAGAGAGTCCCGATTGGATTTCTGCTGTTCTGCTTTTCTGCCGCCACTGTCTCGATTAACCAAGACTCTTCCCAAGTGTAATATTATTCATTCGACAGAAATAAACCATGCCGAAGGTACGACGAAGCAAAAAGCCGCCGCCGGATGGTTGGGAGCTGATCGAGCCGACTCTGGAGGAATTGGAGCAAAAGATGCGCGAGGGTGAGTGTTTGCTCCACGCGAGGTTAGATTAGCTGCTTCAGTTTGACGAAGGTCATACCGAGACTCGAGGGCTTCTCTTGTTACAGCCGAGACGGAGCCTCACGAGGGCAAGAGAAAACAGGAGTCGTTGTGGCCGATATTTAAGATCCACCATCAGAAGTCTCGATACATATACGACTTGTTCTACAGGAGAAAGGCGATCAGCCGCGGTAGGTCTACGTGCCGTCGAAAGGAACGTAAGAGATGGCGCGTCATTTCCCGGGAAGAATTGGAAAGATTGTGTCCGATTTGTTTCAGAATTGTACGACTACTGCCTGAACGAAAATATCGCCGACAAGAACCTGATCGCCAAGTGGAAGAAGGTCGGCTACGAGAACCTGTGCTGCCTGCGCTGCATTCAGACGCGGGACACGAACTTCGGCACCAACTGCATCTGCCGTGTGCCGAAGGGTAAACTGGAGGAAGGCCGGATAGTGGAGTGCATACATTGCGGTTGCCGGGGATGCTCGGGTTGAGTGCGACGCCTACCCCGTGTAAGGCACTTTCTCTTTATTGCCGCAAAATTACATTGTGCGTCTCGCGTCAAAGGGGGAAATCGGGTCGCGCGTATCATCACTCGATCGTCAGGTGCCACTTCTTGCGTTCTGCAAACCGAGCGGCGAGATACAGCGGCGTCCGCACTCGCCAGTCATACGTGACGCATTTGTTATCGGACTCGACATTCACTCGCAGCACGTGAGCATTTTTCCGGAAGGCGGAGATGACGATGACCGCACCGAAACGCATCCTCGGCAGACGCATCAGTTTCTCGTCGCCGTCCATGAAGATCCTGCCTTCTGGCGTGATCATCAGCGACGCCGCTCTCTTCAAGGCGTCGTGGCTACCCTGCGGATCGTAAACTAACGCGATACCCTCGTCGTCGTTTCCCTCTTGCGAGACTTCTAAGAACTGTAAATTAAAGCGTGACAGGTAAATTAGAGCGTGTGCGAAAAAGTGTAAATAAAATCGCACTGCGTATAAATTACCTTGAATTCGATTATGTGATTCGCGTCAAACTGAGGACCTCGCGAGAACAACGTGCTTACGGCGTCCGTAACTTTTGCAGCACTTTTACCATTATTAGTGACCACGTAATCCTTGTTGTCAAGTTCCCAGCCTGTAATCGTTGTAAATGACTTTTTTATCATTGCCACATTAATAGCTCACACGAAATGCAAAACGTTTTCAGAGTACGTTTCTTCCGCGTCCAAAAGTCATCACCGTGTCAGACCTAATTTATTAATAACATCAGTGCTTTTTATTGACCGTATCTGGCAATT